TTATGTGTACAAAGTGTTATCATTAGTAAAGTTGAAAAGTCATCTTAGAAGGAGTACATAAACATTGAAGTTGAAGGAAACATTTAAATTCTTGGGATGAAGAGAGAAAAAATAGAAAGGTATCAACACAGTTGTTTTCTTTTTGATTTCCAGATAATTTCAATAATGTAAACTTATATCGAGTACTGTACCATTGAATTACTCACACGAAATGAAACTATTGACAAATAAACTACTCACTGTATTAAAATGATTAAGTTTTATCAATAACTAGTGGGAAAGCAGTAACTGTCATTATTATTCTAGAGACTATTTGGTGTTACCAAGGATCTTTATTAAGTGAGACACATAACGATTGCGCAATACCGTGGATTGGTTGGAGTTAGACATTAACACTGTTGGATACCGGCTCAGTGGTCTACAGGTTAAACGTTCACATGAGAGGTCGAAGGTCCTTGGTTCGAACACCTTTGGTGCGGGATGGTGGATGAGCATTGATAAAGAGTTCCATAATTCAACTCAACAATCTCCGCGACTCTTTACATATAAGTGTTATATTAGGGTGGGATTTTATGCACAATTTACATATTAAATTATCTTGAACAGAACAGACATTAAGAACTAGGCAGTATTGAATAACTTACACACCCTGCTATAAGATTTTGAAGAGGCTCCCACTCATAGGAAGACAATTATTTGAACTTGGAACCTTAAGTCTTTTAGTCGAGCTAGTCTCCTATGAATAACCAATCTAACATTTAGCGTCTTATAATTCAATTTCCAGTATGCTGTACATATTATTACCTAACATGATTGAGGACTCATATCTTCGTTCCCATATGACTGAAGTTCACTAGTCAAGTGTTTATTTAATGGCAATGAATAAATACATTAATGGTGATAACTGTATCCACCTACACATAGAATAGCTAAATGAAAAAAAACTCTTTACAACAACAATATATGAATATAGGATGAGATGTCTTCCATTAATTATAAATGCAACACTCATTGAAAAATTTGAATTCTTCTGTAAAGGTATGACAGAAATAATTAACGTATCACATATTGCAAAGAATGAAATGTATTAAACAACATACACTATAGATAGATCATTAATTTATAGATTCAGTTATTATATGGATGCAATTATATTAACTTTCCTAGTTCATATGCAGTACAGTTAGTTGGATTATGAAGTAAAATGACAGATTTTAAAAGATGTTTAGGCATTGTTTATTTCTAAATTCACTTGGCGTTGTTTCATTTGTATCTCCCCATGGAGGTTTAAGACTGCAATTGATCAGTCTTCTGTTGGCATATGTGCATACTGTGCGTATGCCTCGATATTGCTTTAATTCACAAGCTTTTTGTAAGCAATGATGGATAGTGGCTAGCAGTGGAATCCAGTTTGACTCATGTTTCGTCCTACTTGGGACTCGTCAGCTGGGTTTACCTACATCACAGAGTTGATGTTCACTCCGGGATTCTATTTTTGCTTAAAAAGCTTGTGACTCAAAGCTATAACGAAGTAATCTACACAGGATGCAGATATATCAACAAGAGACTGATCAATTGTAGTGCTAAATAAAAATGGGAAGATACAAGTAAAACAACACTAAGTGAATTCAAACTTCATCCCATGGCACAAGCAAGTGGCTATCAGGACTCAGTAACTAAGTGGATAACGCGATGATGTTTGAAGCGAACGGTACCTTCATAGAAATATAATTTTTGATAGTAAAACTCCATATAATTTTCTAGATGTTACCTTTTCGTTGTATGACACAAAAGAAAGATATAGAATAGTTCAAGATTGATCTGTCATTTCAAATATACTTGTGAATTGAAAACTATTCAACACAACATACCTACAACTAGAAATCTAGAATATTAACTTTTCTGGAGTAACCGGTTGGATTGAAATCAATGAGTTTAAATTCAATGGTTCGTCTTTTATTCATAAATGATGTAACACAGTTCTTAATGATGATATCAGCATTTGGTCCTCTCTCTCTCTGTGGTTTAGTTAACTCTATTGGTTACAATCTCCTATAATAATAATCTTATACTCTCACAAATTAGTAGTTTATTGCTTCTTAGAATTTAGTGGGCTTTTTTTAATTTATACTAATTCGCATAATTTAAATCCTTTAAAATTAAAATATATAAAATGTCAGTCATATGTTAAATGATCGGAAGCAGTTGGGCAGGAAACCTTAGATCTAACTTTCTAGCTAGTTAAGACGCGTCAGCAATTATTAAATACAATCTTGAGAGGATTGATTATCACTTCAACGTTTGAATAGATTATCTTAACTGATGGATATGTTGCATCTTGATCTAAAAGAAGGTCTAAACAAACAAAACATCAGTGATTACTCAACTCTTAATCAATATTTAGTTATTATTGAAAATTAGTCTTTGTTCATTAAACTTCAGTGATTAAACTCTGCAACACAACTGAAAGTTTCATTTTTTTTAATACAAACTAATGTTTATTCATTTTAAGTAGTAGAAAACCCGTGATATTTATATACAATTGAAAATATATGTTAATGTTCGAAATAAGCATTAATTGATCAACCCGATATATTGGTTGCACGAAATTACTGATTTCTTAGTCGAATACTATACTTTCACCTTGCTTAACTCTTTACTCTTGTATGAATGTAGTTATATAGAAGTCGCTTTGATTCAATAATTAGTTTATGTGAAGAGAATACAGTGTATTTATCTGATTTATAAGTGATATAAAGTCTCGGAAGCCTAATAGGAAAGATATCGAAAATGGCAAGAATCAGATTAAGAGAAGATGTCTTGAATTGAATTTTAAGTTTTTCTTTGAAGTCTTTAATAATACCAATTAACTAATTGTTATTTAGATGAGTTCCTTGTCCTTTGAAGGATGTTTTTTTAAATGGAGTTATAACTATCCACCCGACACCTTAAACTATGAGATTGAAATTGCTTCATATCTTTTTTTCTACCAATTAATTCTTTCTTTCGGTACTATATCCTTATATGTAATCTTTCTTTTGTATATTACCACCACTGAATTAACTACTTCTATGAATTCGGTGTTCATCTTGCGCTAATGAGGTATGGTAACTTGAACCGATGCACATATGTGCCTGTTCCTGCGTTGTAGGTAACTGACTGACTGACTATCCACCTGACATGTCACAACGAATTATGAATAGAGAATAAATTTTTCCATTCAACTAATTATATAAAGAGACAACATGTTTTTGGCAGTAACTAAGAATTAGATTTACAATTCCTAAATTCTTATATATCATTGTCAGTATGGGGATTTGTGGAGATGGTAGTATTTTCACAATTTAACTCATGAGTAAATCTAAGCTAGACCACTATTAAAAACATGGAAGCCCTGGACAGCCTTTTCGTCCTAGTATGTGATTCCTCAGCAAAGTGCATCCATAATCTCATATATTATCTCTTATCATATAATGTTACCCACTATTTTATTTTCTTAGACTTTTAATGAAAGATTATTTTATCGTAAATATAATATTAGGGTCTATTAATACTATAAATGATAAACCATTTGATGCTATTATGAATATTGTTTTGTATAGACATTTAAAATACTGCAGATAATTAACGAATGGATGTTTTATCGAACACATATCATCCAGTCTAGTCACATATCTTGATAGAACTGGACATTCATACATTGGAATTAATATGGATAGAGGAAAGTAAAATGAACTTACTATATCTGGTACATGCATTATGTAATAAAAAATCATAAGAGATCACCAACCATACGTGTTATGAATCATAGTTCTTTTACTGAAATGTTTTATGATAACAATTTCATATTGTACATAACATACAATGTTGGATAAAGTGATTATCAATTAGCTTGAGTATTTCTTTGTACACATTTATGCAAATTACATAACCGACATCGAGAAGAAAAATATTCACAGAATTTTCTATGAACTTCAAATTAAGCGTGATTAGTAACTTTAAATGGATCTACATGATGAATATTTAATGTCTAATGTTTGATAACCATAATATGAACTATGGTTGATTAAAATGATAACAGATATTCATTTGATTGCCCCTATAGTTATTTTTTAGACAATATAACTAAACATAAACTTTTTTTAGCAAAGATGGATAGTGGTTAGCAGTGGAATCTACGACACGCGTTTCGTAATATTTGGGACTCGTCAACTGGATGTACCTGCATCGCAGAGTTGATGTTCACCCCGGGAATCGAACCCAGTACCATTGACGTCATCCACTTGGTTACTGAGTCAAAACGCGCGTTCTGGATTCCACTGCTAACCACTATCCATCTCTGCTTACAAAAAGCTTGTGATTGAAGGCTACATCGAGGCAATCCTCACAGGATGCATATAAGCCAATATGAGACTGATCAATTGCAGTCCTAAATAACAATGTTGAGAGACAAGTAAACAACATCAAGTGAATTTATAAACTGTTTTATTTTAATCCTGCAATGAATTTAAATAAGTTAAAATAAAGTAATTAGTGAATGTTTCAATCTGTGATGAAAGACAATATCAGATTGAATTAAATGAATATCTATTAGATCTAAGGATTTGCTTATGTATTTAAAAAAATAAAATATTTTATAGACTTATTTTTATCATAATTCATTTACGAACTGAAATTAGCTAGACCACCGTTTAAAAACAGAAATTTTTGAACGGCTGTTTTGTCATAATATGGGACTTCTTAGTAATGAACACTCACAACCTCTGTGGATATTGGAACTAAAAGGTGTCCTGTACCAGGACGAAATAGCTGTCTAGTGATTTTTGGTTTTCAATGATAAATTATCTAAGATCACCTCATGATTTAAACTATGAAAACTCTGCAACCTTCAAAAAACCCATCATTTCTTAAATGTCACCTGACGACAGTCAACGAACACAATCAAATAGATGTATAATTTTTGATACTGAACAGTTTACGAATACAAATGAAAATCTTACCTTTGGCTTTATTCGATTTAGCACGTGAGTAAATACCTTGAAAGTATTGTACATGTTTATGCGCAGCTGCTGCAGCCAACACCACATTTGAATTCGAATTTCCAATACGTTGATGATAAGTTGAGTAGGGATATGAATTTAATGCATTAAAATCAAACATGGATGATTGTTGACAAGTAGGCGGTGGTGGTGGAGGTGGTAAAAACATTGAATTCGTTTGTTGCATTACAGGAAATGAAAGTGAATGGTGATTATGTTGGTGATAATCACGTGAATTATGAATTGAATGATAGGCTGGCAATAATGAAGATGGTAATGTTGTAGATGATGATGCCAGTGATGTTGAAGTACAAAATGATCTTGGATATAATGAATTCATATTTGATATATTAGTGGAACTATTCAATGTACTTAGTGAATTCGTTAAACTAGTTGTAGTCATTGTTCTTGTACAAGGGTCAAAATTATTGTATGACGCTGCAGCCATAGCAACACCATGATACAAACAAGAACGTGCATAACTAGCAGCTGCCGCTGCAGCAACTACATTGACACATTGACACTTTGAATCATCATAACTATGATTACAAGTTATAGGCATAAAAGATGTACTATTATTATTATTATTATCATTATTGTCTATACATGACCAAGAAGGTCTTGATGTCGCATCACCAGTATTACTAGTATTAACAGTAGTATTTTTATTCAGTATGGAAGAACCACATTCTTCCATTTTAAGATGTCGTTGTTGATCTGCAAGTGCATGTACGTGCGTAAAAGCATTGTTATCATTACTATTACTATTATTGTCATTATTATTATTATTATGTAAATGAGAATTCACTTGATGAAATCTATCATTTTGATTAAGATGATCATGACTTAAAGTATGTAGATCATTTAAATTTTGAACTAGTTCTGGTGTCATTGATGAATTAGCTATAGAATGTATTAATTCATTAGAAGTAATAGAATTCATTGAACTAATAAAATGTTGTGATACATCAGATGAAAATGATGACGATGACGATGATGATGATGATGATGATGATGAAGAGAAGGATGAAGAATTCAATGAATTAAATGTATTTCCATTCGATGTATTAAATCCCATTGAATTACCTAAAACAAATGCTGTAGATGGCCATAAATATTTCAAACTTGACATAATTATGATGATCAATGTTCAATTTATGAATTATACCATAACATATTAGACAAACAAATGTTCATTTTTTAAAAATTGTTTTCTCTTCACAGATTCTTTACATGTTTTGTTATTAACATATACATATAATCCATTTTATATACATGAATAGATTATTTATTATCACTAACTTATAATGGAATTTTTTTCTCTTTTTTAATTCAAGAGCAAAAAAAAATAGAAAAAAGAAACTGTTATCAATTTTAATATTTAAATTACTTTTTCTTTTTTCAGGTCAATTTTTTTTTATTTTCTCAGGGTAACAAATCAAATTCTTTTCGTTTTACTTACATATAATAATCTTTTTTCGTATTCATGTATACAAATATGTTTTTATTTTATTTTAGATTTTCAATTAATTTAACTAGAAATTGAATGATTGATAGATTCGTGAAGGTTTCATTTAGTTTCATTTGATTAGTTAGTTATCTGAATGAATGAATGAATGAATGAATGAAGGAATCAATGAATAAGTTCATAGGATGAAATAACATTCGTTTAAGTATTAAAATATTTAAACAAAATAAACAATGAACAATGAATCAATGGAATAAAAACAAACCAATGTATATTTATATGTTAGTCAGTTATCTAGTTATTTAAATAAATAGACGGATAGAAAGAGTTCATTGAATAATATACAATATATATATATATATATATATACTGTCCATTACGTTTTCAATATGAATGTATTATTTGTTTATTATAAATGTTCATTGATACAAATACATATAGATTAGTATTACTTTTGTTTGAATACATGGTAACTATTGATGATAGATTCAGTTTATACAATATAGATTTATGTATATATTTTTTTCAAGTATTTCAATGATCGAAATTATACTTTCTTTTCATAATTAATAATAAGACCAAAAAAATTCAAATTTACCACCTAAAATTTTCAAACAATAATTATTTCGTAAATATTGAATCTTAAAAGGAAGAAAGATTTACTGAATGTAATTCACTTATATCAATATTATTATTACTATGATTAATATTAATATAATCGAAATTAACCAATCATAATTTTTGTCAATAATATCTGATTAATGATTGGTTAATTTAATTCCTATATACATATATAGACAATAATAACAGATAAGAAATATGACCGATTGATATAATAGTTTATATAGGAAGAAATAGGGAAAGAAAATTAAAACAAGAAAATTCCGCTATTTCATTTTTTAGTCTCTAATTTATATTATGAAATGTAACAGTATTTGCTTTTATCCATTCATTTTAGTTGAGGTTTTTTTTATGAAAAAAAAGTTTTTCATTCTGTATATACACATACATGTGTATACATTTGAATGCTGTGAAAAACAACAAATTAGTATCAATAAGAGAAAGACAGAGAAATAAAGAGACAGGGATAGAAATAAATAAAAAGAAAGAGGGACAGAAATTCAGTGGAATAAACTCATATATATATATATATATATATATATATATATATATAGAGAGAGAGAGAGAGAGAGAGAGAGCTGGGATAAGATATGGATAGAACTGAAAACTGCGAACAAAATGCATGTTAAATTCACTTGGTATTTTATGGCTTGTATCTTCTAATTGAGGTTTAAGACTGCAATTGATCAGTCTCTTGTTGGCATATGTGCATACTGTGCGTATGCCTCGATATTGCTTTAAGTCAGAAGCAATGGAATCCAGTTTGACGGGCGTTTCGCCCTATTTGGGACTCGTCGGCTGAATGTACCTGCATCTCAGAGTTGATGTTCACACTGGAACTCGTTGAAAGTGAATTTAAATTTACCCCAATGCACAAGCAAGTGGCTATAAGGACTCAGTAGCTAGGTGGATAACGAGATGGTGTTTGAAGCGAATGGTACTGGGTTCGAGTCTCAGAGTGAACATCAACTGTGTGATGCATGTACATCCAGCCGACGAGTCCCAAATAGGACGAAACGCGCGTCCAACTGGATTCCACTGCTTACCACTATCCATCATCGCTTACATAAATGCATGTTAGTTAATCATTATGAAATATTTAGTTGTGGTTAATTAGGAGAAAAGAGAAAATTGATGTAATGAAAAAGATTTGTTCGTCTATTTATAAGTGTATTTTAGTTTACAGTGAATTTTCGTGATTCACTTACCTGGTGGACTGACATATTTTTTTCTAGTAACATACAGTAAGCCGATAATAATTTAGAAATTGTGATAATTCTGTAATTTCCATACAACTTTATACTGATGATACTCATGATAATAATAGTGACCAATTTTATGTGAATTTCAACTATGCCGAGTGTGAGGGAATAAAAGATAATCGCTCAATATCGTGAATAGATTGAATTTAGACATGCACACTTAGTGGTCTAGGGTTCAAACGTTCACAATCAATACTGAAGGTCTGAGGTTCAATACCCTATGAGGGGGTCGTGTGTGGGCACGTTGGAGGAATCCCATACTAGGATGAGATAGCTGTCCAGTGATTATTTGTTTCCAATGTTGGTCTAGCAAAGATCAGTTTATGATGTAGAAACTATTAATCATAAAATATGATGTCTTATTATTTTTCCCTACTGTGTTATCACAAAAACACACTAATAAATTAGGATATGTAGGCGAAGGATAGTACTTCTTAGGGATGTGATTGTCAACAGTATTTTGCCTCAGACAACCAGCAACAACAACGATATTGTTTATTCGTAACAACAAGAAAGGGCTAGAAGAGGCCAGTCCTAAAAATAGAACACCTTCTTTCGCTCTACATATTTTCGTCTTCAGAGGTTAGGCCTTTGAGATACAAAGCTAACGCATCACTCCATAACGAAACGTTGTGTGTGACGGGTTTCACGCTGTTGTCTGTTAGGCTCCAAAATAGTTAAAACCACTATCACAATAGTTTCCTTTTCATATACCTCAAAGACAATTATTTTTCAATGGTGTTGGAGACAGGATAGCGAAAACCACTAACACATCTCTAACAAGAAAAGAAATCAACCCTTCGCAACCAGATTCTTTCTGCTGACAAGCCGATAACATTACGATGCGTTTGCGAAGTTCTACTGAAAGCCTAGAACACTAAGCAGTGAACCAAATCAGAAATGAAATAGTAGCTTACCAATAGCATTGTATGGAGACAGCAAATGACTAAAGTCGAAGATGTAGGCTACTTATACTCCTGACTGATACAACAATGAAAGACAGGTACCCGCCAAAAGAACCACCATGATTCAGAGAAGAGGACAAAGATGACAGAGGAGGATTTACTAGACACTAAATACAAATAGAAATTGCATCTGACCACATTGATTTTAAAATATTTTATTTAGATTGCTCAGCAGTCGGTTTCGAAAAAATCAAATAGAGTAACAGTTAACAGTCAATAAATTAATGGATAAAAGCAATTTGCAATGTCAGAAGGGGTTTTGTGGATATTATAGTAATTTTAATAGTTGAGATCATGAGTCAATTGAAGCTAGACAAGCATGGAAAACCTGGAAGCGCTGGACGGCCGTTTCGTCCTAGTATGAGAGTCCTTCGCAGTGCTCATCCACGATCCCGCCCCGCAAGATTCGAACCCAGGACCTATCAGTCACAACAGTGAACTGTTAAAATTAACAAATACAGCTAATTAATAAGGTTATGAAATTGCTATTTATTAAAGTGTGATTAAGATTAAGATTACCGTCTTCAAACATAACTATACCATTACAAGCAAAGATGGATAGTGGCCTCCGCATCATCAAGCCTGAATTCACATAAGAGGAAAATCAAGATCCTCTACTACAACACAGCATCAACCAAATCACAATTGATGGAGAACCTCTGGAAGGGCTGGAAGTATTTATATACCTGGATGGCATCATCTATAAACAAAGAGAATGTGATACAGATATTAAGGAAGCGATTGGCAGATCACAAGGATCATTTCCACAGTTATGGAACATCTGAAACTTAGAACAACTGTCAGCTAACATAAAAGTCAGAATTTTCAATAAAACTGTCAAGACAGTTCTACTGTATGGAGCTAAAACTTGGAGAACTACAACAACCATCATCAAAAAAGTACAGGTACTTGTAAACAATTGTCACCCCGAAATAATCTCGATTTACTGGCAAATTACCATCAGTAACAAATCACTATGGTTAAGAGAAAGACAACTTCCAGATAAAAAGGAAATTAGGAAAGGACGCTGCAGGCGGATAGAGCACACATTATGATAATCATAATAACGCTTCACAAAAAAAACTAACTTTGAATCCTGAAGAGAAAAGGGAAACAAGCAAACAAAATACTTATTGTGTTGGGGGGTTTGAGGCGGATAAGAAATTAATGAACAACAGTTGGAAGCAACTGAAAAAGAGAGTCCTGTTAGAGATCCCTGGTTGGCGGCCTATGCTCCACAACAGGTAGCACTCATAAGTAAGTAAAGTAAATAATATTGTTTTCACGCAGAATATTAATCCCAGAGAGAACCAATAAAATTACGAATTTAGTATTATGGTAACGGTTAGGTGTACCCAGTAGCATATTATAGACTTAAGTTTGTTACTGTTAGACATTCATTAGCAAGCTGTACCTATAAATTTGAGAGAACTGACACCCTGTAGCGGATTTGATCCCATATCATGAAGTTTCCCAGTCAGAGACGTTACCACCTAGTTATTAAAACCGTGATTGATCTCCTGAATTCGATTACCACTGCGAAGGACTTAGCATACATAACAACGGTCACTGCTCAGTGATCAATCAATCCCAATCAAGTTTAGTTTATTTCCAAGGATTTGTACCTTCCTATCATTAATGCTCAGAACTATAGCTAATCAGCCCCTATTGGCAAATATGCACACTGAATTGATTATTTGAATATTGTCTTTTATTATCAAGCTTTTATTCTAGTTGGTTTGTAGCTAACACTTGAATCTGAAGATGTCTCTTTATACAATGACATTATATGTTTAAAACGAAAGGTACTGTATTTGAGTATATATATATATATATATATATATAATTCAAAACATCTTCAGTTGTAAAGAAATTAGTTTTTCAACTACCCTATCATTTTACGTATGTACAGATAGTTTTGCCAAATTTAGTTCATGATTAATCATCTATACACAGATGTTTTCATTGCCATTCGTATGTGACAATCGTTTTGCCCTTACTTTATCCTTAAAATCTTTACAGTTCTTGCGGAAAAATTTAATCCACATGGAAAGTGATATCTTTCTTTTTGATAAGTTATCGCTATAAATATTCATTAACCATTTACAAATTGACTGATAAAATTCTTCAAGTATTTCATTAAAAACTTGTGTAAGTTAAATTGTATGTACTTATTACATAAAATAGTGATGATGATAATAATAATAGTTCAATTTTGCTAATCATGTATGAAAATACAATAAGGCGAACCAATAGCTAATTATGAGTTTGTACGGGATTTCAGTTACTCACTCACTTATTGTTACCCTTTGTGGATTTCAGTTAAAGTCTAGTAATCTTTTTATATGATGAATAATTGACTTTTTCATAATGATTTTTGATAAACATAAGTATTTTTCAATAAACCGTCCAAAATTTGAACGTTATGAAGTCTAAATTCTAACAAAAAATACGATGCATAAAACATTTGCTTTTCATTAGTTTGCTTCCACGTCTTCTTATTACCCAAATGCAATAACATATAGGGGTAAATTTGCTGAATTTCCGTGAAACGGTGGGCAATGGGTTCGATTCTCAGTGGGAGATATGTATATGTACTTCTAAGGAGTCCTATACTAGGACGAAACGGTCGTTCAAAGTCGTCTAATTTTTAAGCAGTTGTTTATTGAAGATTAACTCAAGATGTAAACTATAAAATTCCACATTTTTCACAAACCTTCTACGATAAATTTTCTATTCATCAACACACTGAATCAATAAGATTTAATAAGAACAGCCAATATTGGTCGGTTAACAAATCTAAAGTGAGAAGAATAATGAAAAA